AATGGAAATAACCAAAATGTACTTTAGTATGTGAATAGATGAAAAGCTATGTGACATCCATACAATGGAATGTTATTCAGTGACAAATAGAAATGAGCTATCAAGTTATGAAAAGACATCCAGAATCTTAAATGTGTATTGCTAAATGGGAGAAGTCATTCTGAAAAGGCTATATACTAAACGATCCTGTTATTTGACATTCTGGAAATTGTGAAACTATAAAGATGGCAAAAAGATCAGTAGTTGCCAGGGATTTAGGGGTGGGGATTTAAGGATGAAGCATAAGACATTATTTAGGGTGATCAAATTATTCTGTAGGACACTGTCGTGGATGAGTACATGACAAAATGCATTTGTCAAAACCTGTAGAACTTTAGAATACAAAATGTGAATCTTGATGTATCAAAATTAAAAAAATGATTTAGGCAGTCAGGGGATTCCAGGATGGAATGGAGAATGTGACAAATATGACAGAGCAATCTATCTGTATTACAAATATATGAAACGATTTACTAAATGGGGTGGAGGAAAAAGTGCTGACCTAAGTAACTTTGGAAATGAACCAAGAATGTAGGACTTAAGGCAAAGGAAAGTGTTCATAAGCACTGTACTCTAGTTAATAAAGTTGTTTCCCATGAAAGTACTATTTAAAAATTCTGCCCCTGCTATAATATATGCTGGAATTCAGAGAGTAAGTAGATGGTGCATGGTGGCAACCAGCGCTTTTTTTTTTTTTTTTTTACTGTTGGAGTCGGTTACATATAAGCAAGGGGAGCAGGTTAGAAATGTTCTCATAGTAAGAGAGTTGGAGATATCAGTATGAACTCATGTTTAGCATACTATAGATATAGATGATTACATGTAGTAACATTTATTTATAGATAACATTATATTCATGGGATAGTGTCCACATATGTATTTCCTTGCTCTGTCGAGAGGCTGTAAGCAGCACAACCCCTGTAGCAGCCTGTAGCATCCAGCAGCTGGATCTTGGTTCTAACACAGTTCTCCAATATAAGAAATAAAGAAACAGCTAGTTCTAGCACTGAGAGAGGATATTTACAAGTTGATTCTACAGCATTTTCTTTTGCCAGAAAATAAGGAAATTCTAAATGCCCCCACCCTCCAAAACCCAGGACTCGCTCAACCCCTGCTGCCACCAACAATTGGGATATGTTAAAGGAGCATGGGAGCCAATGGCAAAAGCTGGAACAATTTGAGAAACAAGATAAATAAAATAATATTGGATCATAACCAAAAATAGAAAATAAATACCCCTGAGTTCATACTGATATAAACAATTGAATAACCAATAACTGGGCAACTTCCCAGGTAGTCCAGTGGCTAAGACTCCACACTCCCACTGCAGGGGACCTGGGTTCCATCCCTGGTCAGAGAACTAGATCCTGCATGCCGCAGCTAAAGATGCCAGATGCATCAGTGGAGGTCCAAGATCCTGAGTGTTGCAGCTCAGGTCCCAGCTCAGTCAAATAAATAAATATATATATATAAAAAATAACTGGGAGAGAGCTGAAATCTTCCCTGTAGAAGTTGCTTATGTTGATACTCTGCCCTCAAGGAGGGGAATCATAACTCCTCACACTTTAGTGTGAGCTGTGCACTCTCAAAAGCTCAGAATAGACAGCGAGAAGTACTAAGTAATTTCACAGCGGAGAAATCAGATCACCACCACTTGGAGCCAGGTGGTCAAGATTAACATTCACAGCAATAAGTCATGCCAATAGTGAGTGCTTTTGATATAATGTGATGAAAATGGTACTTTAATTCTGAGATTTTCCTTCCAAGAACATTTAACTCCAGTCTAATTATGAGACAAGTCTCAACTGAGGAACATTCTGCAAAGTATCTGACTAGGATTCTGCAAAACTGTCAAAGTCATCACAAAAAAGAAAATCTGAGAAGCTATCAGAGCCTGGAGGAGATTGAGGAGACATGATTATTAAATGTAATGAGGTGTCCTGGATGGGATTCTGGATTAGAAAGAGGACATTAAGTAATAACTAAGGAAGTCTGAATAAAGAGTGGACTTTAATAACAATATATTATTATTGTTATATTAGTAATTATATTATTATATTAATAATATATTATATTAATATATATTAATATTACTAGTATATCAGTTATTATATATATGTATATATATTATATATAATATATATGTTTATTATATCAGTTATATATAGTTAATATATCAACATTGGTTCATTAATTGTAACAAATGTGCTGTATTAATGTATAGAAATATATATGTGCTCAGTTGCTCAATTGTGTCCAACTCTTTGTGGACCTGTAGACTGTAGCCTGCCAGGCTCCCCTGTCCATGGAATTTTCCAGCAAGAATACCAGAGTAGTTGCCACTTCTGACTCCACGGAATCTTCCTGACCCAGGGATTGAACCCAAGTCTCTTGTCTCCTGCATTGACAGATGGATTCTTTACCACTAGTGCCACCTGGGTAAGATGTTAATGATAGAAGAAACTGGGTGTGGAATATAGGGGAACTTTGTAGTATCTTGACATTTTTTTTGTCAATATAAAACCACTCTAGGACAGTTTACTTTTTAATACAAAGGTAATTTTCAGAAATGCCTTCTAGAGCAAAGATAAAGTAAATCCAGACGCTATTTCAGAGTCTAAGGGGAGGCATTTAACCTGCAGGAAGACAGTATGTACTGAAAGGCCTCAGAGACCATGACATGTGATCCAAGTTCTGGGTGGATCTGTAGCTTGAAATAACCTCCGTCGTCTACACTCAGTGATACTAACCTGTGGTGAAGACACCATGTGGAAGGTGTTTTGATTTTGTCACAATAATTGGGGGATGCACACCTGGCACTTAGGTTGGTGAAAAGCAGTAGATGCTTAATACCCTGCAATATATAGAACAGCCTTCTGCAGTGAAGACTTGTCTCCCATCCTGCATAGTTGTCTCTGTACTTCTGTTTAGGTGGAAAACCTGTTGAAAATGATCTAAGTCCAGACTTGATCTCCATTTTACTTGTAAGCACTAGAGATATTTTTCATGATTTTAGCACACGTAGAATTTTCCAGAAATGTCACTGTCATGTAAATCCAAGAGAAGGTTATAATTTGCTTTGTTAAGAAGTGTTCACCTTTTTGGAAAAATCATACCCCTGAAAGTAAAATGTGGCATTTGATATTTGAGTCACCAACACAGAATGTTTGAAAAAAGCTTTTGCTTTTATGGTGTTTTACACATAAATAGAGTAACTATATCATTTATTATCCTAACAAACACTTGAGTATAAAAAGAGGATGCTGTTAATGGTTATCAGGAAAATGGGCATGAATGTGATTGTCCTAGGAAAGCTGGGTCATACAAGGGAACCTGGGAAATGTAGTTTTAGGTTTCTAGCCCCACAGTCTAGGAAGACATACCACAAAGAGATTAGAATAAATGTTGAGCAGGAAAATCCACCAAACTTTGGTGTTACTTTATTTGATCTATCAAATGAAGAAAGATTATAAAATTTTCCTCTACAATGGTGAGTTTGTCAGTTCCTTCAGATTTTGCTTGTATTTTTGAAGTCCTACACTGTTGTAATTGAGAAATCAGCTATCAGTCTAATTGAAATTATTTACTGGTAATGTTTTTTTTTTTCTCTCTCTGGTTGATTTAAAGATCTCTTTGCTTTTGATGTTTATAGTTTCACTATAATGGGTCGAGGTTGTTTGGTTTTTTCCTTTTTATTTCTTATCTTCATTGGAGTTTATTGTGTTTCCTAAATCTGTGGATTGAATTTCCCTGGGAAAATTCTGTCATGTTGCTTCTACCTCTTTCTATTATCTCTTTTTAGATCTCAGATTAGACCTATGTTGGGCCTTCTCTTTTTAACCTCCATATCTTTTAGCCTCTGGAAATTTTTTCACCTCTGTATATCCATGCTGTATTATATATATATACATTTTTTTTAAACCTAATTTTTCAATTTACTCACTCTTTCTAGTTTTACCCAGTTTGACACATCAACTGAGTTAATACTTTCAATTTTTGCATTTTTTTATTTCTAGGAGTTCTATTTTGGCATTTTTATCTGAATTATTAATTTTGATAAGCTTTTCTCCCCTTTAAATAGGAATAAAATATCAAAAATTAAATACTCTCAAGTTAGATAATTGCTTTAAACACATTAAGTGCACTTGTTTCATATTCTGTATATGATAGTTATATTTAAAGTCTGTGTGGTTCTGATTCAGCGATTTTTTTCTTTCTTCTCAGTGGGGATCATGGTAGCTTGTTTCCTTGTGTGTTTGGCGGTTTGAGAATTTTGAGATGGTATTACTGGAAGCTTTGTCTGTGAGAACTCCTGAGGCTTGAGTTTTGTTTTCCTCCAGAGAAAGTTAACTTTGCTTTTGCATGACCAACTTAGAACTGTTTAAAATGATGATTTCAACTGAGTTTTCAAGTTACATATATAGTGTGAATTTTATCTCAAAGAATGTGAACTTGTGCTTAGGGATTTATAGGGAAATATTTTTTTCCTTTTCCATCCAGAGTCTGGTTTGAATCAGACAGTGTCTTCACAGACTTTTGGCTTGGTGCTGTTTCTTCTTTCCTCTGGACTGTCCTCTGGGAATCCTAGCTTTATGCAGTCATCTCCTCTCTCACCTCCAGCCCTGCCCACGCCCAGGCTGAGTCTCTTATCTCTAGGACTTATTATCTGTAAGGAATTGGCAAATTCCCACAGGGTTCCACTACCCACGTACCCCTATGTACCTGAACCATTTTATACTCCTCACGCAGAAGCCTATCTTGATTCGAATTGCATGAGAGAGACATGAGATTCTTTCTCTGTAACTCTCTAATGTGTGATGAAGGGAGTAAAGTTTACAGGAAGGGATCGTATCAGTGTAAGGAAGACAGTTCCCCAAAGAAATGAGCTGTTTCATAAGGTAGCAAGTTTCCTGTCACCATAAGGATTCGAGGATAAGCTAGACAATCACTTATTGGAGATGCTAAGTGATGATAGGTATAGAGGAGGACTGGACAAGAACTCTGCCTTCTCCTTCTCCGAGCTCCATGCCGACCTGCATGTCGGAACCAGAGCCGTAGGGCACTGAGGGAGAAGACTCCTCTGCCTGGCCGTCTGAGGGTTTGAAGTGCTGGCCTGGCCCGCCTGCTCTCTGCCCACAGATGGCTCCCAGAGGCCGGCAGCTGGGCTGCGTGAGTCTGACAGGCTGCGCCGGCGCACGCGAGGCCTGGGCGGCTGGGTCCTTGTGCTCACGCGGCCGCATCCCCGGGCTCCGTCAGGTGGCCGCGGTTTGTCTCGGCCACGTCACTGCCAAGGGGGAGGTGGACAGAGGGCAGGATGACTGAGCGACAGGTGTTACCAGGAGTCTAGACAGAAAAGTATCCTCATACCCACAGGAGCATCCGTTTAAAATAGCTCTTTCCCCAGATACTCTTCTGGTGGCGCTGGGCCCGTCTGTGCTGTGGTTGCAGATCATTTGGCAGCTCTCGTTCCTGCAATCAGAGAGTGGCTTCTGGGGCTGTAAAATCATCATGAGTTAAGCCAATTAGCTCAGCCAGGAGAGGATTAGACACACCAGCTCTGGTACCAGGGCAACTTCATAAGCTGATTTTACACAGTTTTACTGTTTTTGCTTTATCCCGTTTTCCTCCCGAGCAGTTGTAATTTAACTCGGATGAGGCCCCAGTGGGTGACACCTTTGGGTGCTTTTTTAACTGCCTTTGGAGAAACTGGGTGAAAAGTGTTCACACTCTCAAGCTTGGTGTAGTGAGGAGAGGAGAACTGCCCTGCAAACACGGGCAGTCTGTTTATATGAACAAAGTATTAAAATGTCCTTTTCCTATGTGACAGGGATTGGAAACTCACAGAGCTCAGTCACAGGGACTAGGAAGAGGCTCTATCAAGAGTGATGGGATCCTGAGGGCCCTGCATGGAAACCAGGCTGATAATGAGGTTAAAGCCAAGGGGTCAGTCTGATGTGAGCCAGAGGGGACTGATGTGTGTTAGTACAAATTACTGCTCCGGGTTACATGTAAAACTGAGGTTGGTTTAATGTTATTCTGGCATGGAAATGACAGTGAGTTCATGGGTTAACAAGAGCTGAGTTTGTAAAGGGATACCCCCTCCTTACCCCAAATGATTTTTTTGTTTCTGTGTTTTGTTTTGGCTTTTGTTACTGTGAACAGAAAAAAAGGGATAGGACAAGAATATAAAAAAGTCCACTCTTCCAGAAAAACTACTGGTAACCTTTTGATGTATATCCTTCCAGATCCTTCTCTATCTCTGTGTGTTTCTTTTTACAGAAATAGGACCAGACTCTGTCATCCACTTTTCCTATTTCTTATGTTGATTCAGTCAACAGAAAGTTAAAGCATGACTACCCTGTGCCTGGTCCTGTCCTAGGCACTGGGGATACATTGGTGAACAAAACAAATCCCTTACCTTTACGGAGCAGTCTAGAAAGCATTCTGCAGCGAGCATCCTGTCATATGCATAGATCCTCTTATGGAAGAGCATTTTTAAGAGCTACGTACTGTTCCACGATATAGATGGACTTTAATGTCTTTGTGTCCTATAGTTGGACATTCAGATGGTTCACAACTTTTTGCTCTTATGAACAATGTTTTGATGAACATTTTGGTAGCTAATGTGTGTGGCACAGCTTTATTAGCATAAAGGCTGTAATGGAAAATTAATAAAATGAAATGTTCCCTTTGGTAGGGGCAATAAATGTGTACTCTCTGGTTGTGACCTACAGGCAGTTAGGTGCAGACATTTGAGCTCGGAGTGTATCACTGACAAAACTTGGCTGACCGCGTGGCTTAGGTTGGGACAGGCAAGTCACGTGTGGGTATGTTTCAGCTGACCCAGGTGGCCAGCCTGGCAGCGCTGAGACCTGAGATCTATTAAGGACATATGTAGGTTTCAAAGGTCTTTAGAGGCCTGCTGGCTTTCATTGTGGTTTACAAAATAAAGATGTGCCCCTCCATGATGCTAAGCTACTTGAAATGACGTCTTTGCAAACCGAAGAAAAGGGTTCTGTGCGGCACACACAAGTGAGTTGGGGACGGCCTGCTGTGTGCACCGAGGGTGGGGCACAGACAGCAGGGTGTGTGGAAGGACCAGCTTTCATGAAGGCCTTTCCACACACGGAGCCGTTGTGAGCAGAATGGGAGCTGTCGTAAGGAGATGACACCACTCACAGGAATTAAGGGTTGCTTTCATGGGGCTCCCTGACTTTGTAGATTGGCATTGGTGGGGCTTTAGATTATTCGTGTGCACCCCTGATGTGCTCTTAACACTCCCTGAAGGAAATGAGTTCTTCCCTATTCTGCATACTTGGCTACTGTTCTGGTATATAAGGCCAAAATATTGGGATAATTTTAAATACTTTCTTCCTTCACATCACCCCCCCCCCCCCATCTTCACCAAATTCCATCCAGTCTCCCAGACAAAGTCTCTTGAATCTGCATTCAATGCCTAATTCTCCCTCACTTGAACAACTGCAGGAGCTCTGTCCTTGTTCCCACAGGACAGCTCAGGGGATCTTTGTGATGTGAGCTTTGCATCACATTACTGCCCCTTAAAAATCTTCAATGGCTTCCTGTTGCCTACAGGATGTCCAAACTCCTTAGAGACTGACAAGCCTTCTAAACTACCTGGTCTACCTAACCAGCCCTGTCCCCAGACTCACCCACACCTGTTGTCCAGCTGTGTACTGCTTGCAGCTACGGGGAGTGAATTTACTCAGCCCCACTGTGTCCTAGCACAGGCTCTTCCCTTCTGCCTGGGGTCATTCCTGCCTTTTGTTCCTTGGTGTGTTCCTCTTCATACCCAGAACCTTCTTTGTTGTGACCCCATTGCATGATGTCCATCTTTGTATTGTAACTTATCCTGCTGCTCATTTGCTTGTCTGCTTGTGAGTATCCTTTGCTTGTTGTTCAGTCACTAAGTCATGTCTGACTCTTTGTGACCCCGTGCACTGCAGCATGCCAGGCTTCCCTGTTCTTCACCATTCCCCAGAGCTTGCTGAAATTCATGTCCATTGAGTCAGTGATGCCATCCAACCATCTCATCCTCTGTCGTCCCCTTCTTCTGCCTTCAATCTTTCCCAGAATCAGGGTCTTTTTTAATGAGTCGGCTCTTCTCTTCAGATGACCAAAGTATTGGAGCTTGCTGGACTGTGAATACCTTGAGGATGAGGACTGAATCTTGTTCATTTTTGTATCTCCTCTCCCATAGCAGTGCTTAACAAAGATTTGTTGTTGAGGGTGGAGCTGATAGAATCTGGACTGCAAGCATGTTTTGTTTGATGCAGAGTTATCCAGATAGACTGTGTTCCCAGTGCCTAGTTCTGATTTACGTTTTCAGACATCTTTTAAAGATTTTTTATTCCAAAGACCATTAATTATGTTATGTGTTGTTTTTGCTCAGTCGCTCAGTTGTGTCCGACTCTTTGCAACCCCATGGACTGCAGCACACCAGGCTTCCCTGTCCTTCACTATCTCCCGGAGTCTGCTTAAACTCATGTCCTTTGAGTTGATGATGCCATCCAACCATCTCAACCTCTGTTGCCACCTTCTCTTCCTGCCTTCAATCTTTCCTGTTCTGCCCGATGTCCGAATCCCTGAGCAGGAAGAGAGAACTTCCAAGACAATGCAATTTACAAAAAGGGAAGTTTTATTACTGACTCGAGTCAGGGCTTTCTGCTGCAACCAACACAGTGGTGCAAGGTCAGAAAAGCCTTGAGCAGAGGCTGTTATCCAAATTTATAAGGTTTGCATAAGCGATTAGTAGCTGGCTTAAGCGGATTGGTTACATGTTTGCAAAGCAATTTTATTGGTACAAACTTTCGCGGGCTTTTTCAAACCTGGGCATTCGCGGGCTTTTCAGCTCTTCCTTTGTTTCTTACTGGGCGCATATTGGCTGGTTCCAGGTTACCTGATGGGGGTAGGGAATCTTATCATTTCAGGGGAAGCCAAAACTTAGGTCCAGGCCGCCTGTCATGGTATTAACCCTGGCAGCCTCACATTCCCCCCTGTCTTGTTGTTCCTATAGAGGAATCTTTCTCTTCATCCTGGGCTACCATCTGATATTGTTGCCTCAATACCATAATCTGAATGGTACTTAGACGTTCTTTAATAAATGACATTAGCCGGTTTAAAATACAAGGGCCAAACGTGAGTGTTAATAATAGCGCTATAAGTGGGCCCAGGAGGGTGGAAACTAAGGTGGTCAGCCAGGGGGAGCGTTGAAACCAAGACTCAAACCACCCCTGCTGGGCCTCCCGTTCCCTCTTGCGTTGTGCCAGTCCCTCTCTCACTTTTGCCATAGATTCTCTTACCACTCCTGTATGGTCTGCATAGAAACAACATTCTTCTCCCAGAGCCGCGCAGACCCCACCCTGCTGGAGAAAAACCAAGTCTAATCCTCTTCTATTCTGCAAGACCACCTCAGACAAGGAAGTCAGAGACTTCTCTAAGTGGCTGATTGATTCTTCTATGCGAGTTAGATCCTCATCTATAGCGGCTCGTAGGGAGGAAAACCCTTGGCCTTGCAGAGATAGTGAAGCTATTCCTGTCCCTGTTCCTGCCCGCCCAAGACTGAACAAGGCTGCCATGGTGATCGCACTGACTGGCTCTCTCTTTTGTCTTAGCATTTCCCGGTCCCAATGTGAGTACATAACCTCTTCAGAGTGGTATAAGATTTTTGGCATTACAGCAACCAGGACACAGAATTCTTGACTCTGGTTAAAAACCTTCACATTCAAACATGGGGTTAGCCCAGTATGTGAACAAATCCACCAACCCCCAGCCTCTGGCACAATCCAATTTTTGCCGTGTAAGCGTAGGTTACTAATAGTCCGGGCACAGAGGGGAGTTTTATCACGTGGCACTGTGCCCAAACAGAGTCCCTGTCCCCAAACTTCATTCATTGAGAGGCCAACCTTGCATTCTTCCCATCGGCATTGGGGTGGGTTCTGGCCTGAAGACAAGTGGTAAGAGACATTAAGGCCTATGGCCTCATAGTAGTGGGGGTGAAGATTATAACAAAGCCAGCAGGATTGGGTCTCATTAGGGTTGGCATGGTTTAAGACCGTAAAGGCTGCATTCACTAAGGCCCATAGGGGGTCCTGAATTGCTGAGCTAATGGTAACAGCCAGAGGGCCAGGGGTTTCCGTCAGTTTGTCTCTGAGGCTCGGGGTAGAGGAGATGTTAAATGTTCCCGGCGAGCTTGGTCTGGAGGTGGTTGGCTTGGGGGTCT